ACTAAGATCGGTGAACATTCACTTTACAGTCTTTGTTCCTTTGGTGCTTCAACCCAATGACTGATGGAGAGAGATGTGCACGATGGAAAAGTTAATTTAGTTTTGGTTTATTTTGTTAAGTACGTCATTTTGTTTCGTCATATTGGTTATGTTCAAATGATTAATATTTTAAATGAAAATTAATCGGGAGAGTATATATTCGTTGTTCCACATCAATTCGTGTTTCTGGAAGCTGTTATTCTTTTGCTTTTTTAGAAGATTGTTTATATTTATTTTGACATAATTAATACATATTCATTCATAAAGTTATTAGGTTGAATTCATTTCCCCATACCGACTGGCTTTGTTTCTTGGGCAGCGCACATCAAAATGAAAAGAATGGTATCTTCAGTGTGGGCACCCGGCTGTGACAGCTTGCGGTTTCACAGCCAGGTACCCATTGCACATGCGTGAGTAGCGCTGGGCTTCCTGAATGGTCCTGTAATCCTCTGGGACCTGTCATGTGTCCCAGAAGACTACGGGGAGGGAGGAAGGGAGGACACCTTCCACTTCCGATTGCCTAGGTGATCGGAGCGGAAGTGGGAGTGGGTACCTGTCAAATTTGGATACCCGCTCCCCACCGCCCCCCAAAGGTGCCAATCCTTAATGGGGAGCGGGGGGACCAGTCTTTAAAAGCGGGACTTCCCCTTTTGGATGGAGCTCCGCTTTAAGCTTGGGCTACAAACAATGAATTCTCTAATCACCAGCAATTACCACAACACTATTTTTAAAAAAAAAAAATTTGCAACACCCAAATAGGAAAGGCTATATGGGAGGACCTAAAAACCCATAATACCAAGGGATTTTTTTCTCATACAATATGTACAGGAACTTAACCACGACCCCCCATCTTCTCCCTCCTTAAAAGCTCCACCATCTTCCACATGCCTTACTTTTGTTGCTGTATAAGCACCTAGCCTGCTCTAGTACCTACCTGTACATTGTAGGTGGTTCTGCTTCTCTCACTTGCAGGTTATAATCCAGTTGGTGTGTCTGCACCCCAGGCACCTTCATCTCCCTTGTCCCCATCCTGTACTCAGTGGGATCTACTCAGGAGATCAGATCTATGGGAGCCATTGGGAGGCCAGCTGTCATTTGTAAATAGAGAAGCTGGACGTCTGTGTTCACAAGTGATAGAGGTCAGCAGGGAGCAGAGGGTTTGAGCCAGAGGTGGTGGAACTGAGTTCTAACAAGTTCCAGCTAAAAAAAAGCACTGCTTTTTAGGGCTCATGTACACTGCAGCTGATAAACTCACGTTTAGGAGCTGTTCAGCATTTTTTTTTCAGCAGCCCCTGAACTCTCCCTAATGTTTTCTATGTGTCCATGTACACATCGTCGTTTACAGTCATTTACAGGCAGTTGAGTTTACAGCAGGGGCGGACTGACCATGCGGAAACTCAGGCACTGCCCGAGGGCCCTGGGGTCAGTAGGGGACCCCATGTGATGCCCCTGGTACCTTTTTCATAGGCTTTTTTGAGTTTGGACAAGGACACAGGGGCCCCATGATCCCCTATTGCACGAGGGCCCCATAAGTTGTCAGTCCGTCCCTGGTTTACAGTCGTTTTTTTTGAACGCAGAAAACTTGCGTTCAGCAGTAGATTTTATCAGTGTTTCAAATGCAAAACACTTGTAAACTTGTGTAAACGCAGCTAATCGCGTTTATAGGCGTTTGCGTTTGAAATTTTTTTCAACTCTTCCATTTCCAGATGATGTCCAGAGCCTTTTTTCATCATGAAAAATGCATGCAAAGTGTTTCCCCGGTACTCAAATGGACCCAGTACACCATACTTTGAGGTTTTGCATGAAAAAAAATATGTTAGACACAGAAATGAGCTGGAACACATCCAAACACCACAAAAACAAACACAGACAGCTAATCTCAACAAATACTGCTCTCTCTGCTTCTGCTTTCTCTATTTCTCTGAAAATGTCTGAAATAGTTAACTATTTACTGTTTTTCAGTGTTTTCTTGGCATTTTGGAAGGTCTCCTGAGGTTATCAGAAAAAAACGCTTCTACATGCAAATGCTCGTAAACGCGCATAACTGCTGTATGGCCTTAGTGTAAACTCTGCCCATTCTTTTTCAAAATACATGTAGCGTAATGTTCAAATGGTGGTCATGGTGGACTTGATGAGGAACATGCATTAGACATCCCAGCCAATCAAATACAAATACCACAAAGTGCTTGGAGTCAATCTAATTAAAGTCAGTAAACAGCATCTCACATTGGGCAGACTAATGGGGAAATGCAACACTATGCAGAGGCAATGTTGGCTCCATCTACCTATGTCAATACATGTACTAGTCAAAACAACAGCGTGAGAATGATACAAGCTCCACCCTCCTCATCATAAAATTCAGACCTGAAGGGGAACTGAATGCTATTAATTTGTCCAGTAATGCTGAATGTACAACAAACACTGGTTCCATACACCCAACATTAATATTGGCGCAATCGCCAACTCACTTTGGAATTAATATGGGCAGCACAGTGGTACATTGATTAGCATTTCCACCTTTGCATGTTCTCTCCCTGTGTTTGCATCAGTTTCTTCTAGGTGCTCTGTTTGCTCTGTTTTCCTCTCATACTCCAAATAGACATGTTGGTAGGTTAACTGGCTTCTGTCTAAATTGCCCCAAGCAGGTATATCTATGTATAGTAGGTAGAGACCTTAGATTGTAGACTTCTTGAAGGCAGAGGAAGATGTGAAAGTACAATATATGTAAATTGTTGGGGTTATATAAAAACCTTTAACCTCCCTGGCGGTATGATTATGTCAGGAATTTTGTACCAAAAGCGGGTACCATTTTTTTGCATGGAAATATGTATTTTTTTTTATTGTAGGCCTGTAATTTTTAGGAATAACTCCCTGAAATCTGTCCGAACAAGAGTCTAGTAAACATTCCGGATATGATAAAACTTGAAACACGAAATCATAAATTATAATTTAATAAATACTCATAAAAAAATAATAATATAATAATAATAAATTTAATTCAATAATATAATCAAACCAAAAACACTGAAATGTGAAATATAGCGCCAAGTTCGCACATCACTGAGCAAAGTCGCAAAATCGTTTTCAGTGTCTGATGACGAATTTCCCCCACGAATCATTATCACTCAATTCTGCAAGTGGTTCTGATTTACTATCGCTGTTCTCTAGCCGGTCTAAAACCGATTTTGACTTAAAGGGACGCTTTTTGGACGCCGTGGACTTTTCTAAGTTTCCAGGCAGAAAGAACAGTAAAAATGCAGGCAGGGCGCAGGACAAAGCACTCGGGACAAAATGTATGTGAAATGCTTTGATACAGGAATGTTTCGCTATGAAATAATCTTTTTAAAAAAAATGTCATTTTTTTTAAATTCTCAAATTTGCCGCCGGACGTCCCGACGTCACAGGGACCGGAACACGGAAGCCAGATGCCGGCATCGGCCAGAGAAGATGGCCGGGGACGCTGCAGGGAACGCATCGCGGGAGCGAAGGACAAGGTAAGCTCTGTAGGGAATCCCTGTGCAACGCCGCATGGTAAGCCTGAGTGTAGCTCGGGGTTACCGCTTTTGGTACTGAAACTTTACCCCGAGCTACACTCGGGAATACCGCCAGGGAGGTTAATAAAAAATATAATAAATGGTTTCTTCACAATATGATAAAAATGGCTAATCACATGGTTCTAAATTGATCGCTCAATATCCCAACATGGCTTAAAGTGTCAATTATAATACTAGGCACAATTCTTCTAAATGTATTCCATGAAAGCAATACAATATTATTGTAAACCAAATATTTTTATTGGGTAAGGGAGGAAAAGACAAGGAAAAACCAGGACCACCCCTAAGCCAACCAGATTGGGTGTTTTTCTTACCTAAACCACCCATTATTGTTTTTTAAAATAATCCACACCATTAAAGAGCAGATTCCGAGAACACCAAGGAAAATGGAGAAAATAAACAAAACTAAAACAATATCAAAAATATCTAAACAAAGGCGTCAGATCATATTCCCTGTTGAGATCATGCCGTGCCAAGATCTCGAATTTCTGTTCCCATTTGGCTTCTCTCATGCACAGAATGAAAAGCTACAACCTGGTCAGTCAATGGAATACGTGTGGTAGACTTGTGGAAATCCTATCTCTAATCTTCTGAGTCATTTCTACAGCATATAATTAACCGTAGGTTCCCTTCAAACAATATATTACATATTTGAAGTGCAGATATCAAGACCGTTAATTATACACAATGACCCATTATGAGGGTGGTACATGATATCTCCTTCAAGGACATTGTTGCGTTGGGCATGTAATCATTTGATTAACCGGGCTGTTATTTTCAGGTTCATGTTCATGTTCCCCATTTGAAATGTGATGGGGATCTTAAGAATTTCTTGTTAAAGAATGAAGTCATGTGGATAAAGAAATTGGAGACCTTGGCACCGCATGTGCTCAATAGGGAATATGATACGTCACCTTTGCTATGATTTTTTGTTAATGTTTTTGTTTTATTTTTTCACTTTTCCCTAGTGTTCTCGGAAACTGTTAACCACTGTACACTACAAAACAGCAGGTAGGTGAACATAGATTTTTGGAGGGCTGTTTAGAATTGGCACTTTATTACTTGTGTGCATGCATTAGACAGCTCAAATCACAAGCAAAATGTACAAAGCCAATTAGAATGGCTCTGTGCCTTGTGATCGCTGTGATGGCCAATTACAATTAATTTACATTCAAGAGCCCTCATCTTCCTCTAAAAAGGGAGGAAGGAAGATTTATTGAATGAGAGTTCATTTATTAACAGCAGATCATAGGCAGCAGCAGCTTCAAGTTGGGAGGGGAGGGTTATTTAATTTGATTATGGGATAATTTTCTAACTTTCAATTTCCTGCCTCTCCTGTACATCTCACCTCTATCCTGCCTCTATAGTAACCTTCACATTAATGTTCTAACCTCCCGTATTCTGCACTTTAACTCATTCATCTTTAACATTTATTTGGTTACAGTGCAGGGGTGGACTGACCGTTTGGAAACTCGGGCACTGCCCGAGGGCCCGGGGTCAGTAGGGGGCCCCAAGAGATGCCCCTGGTACCTTTTTCATAGGCTTTTTTTGAGTTTGGGCAAGGACACAGGGGCCCCATGATCCCCTATTGCCTGGGGGCCCATGAGTTGTCAGTCCACCCCTGGTTGGTAGGTTAAACTGGCTTCTGTCTAAATTGCCCCAAGTAGGTGTTCTATGTATAGTAGGTAGAGACCATTTGGAAACTCGGGCACTGCCTGAGGGCCCAGGGTCAGTCGGGGGCCCCATGAGATGCCCCTGGTACCTTTTTCATTGCCTTTTTTGAGTTTAGGCAAGGACACAGGGGCCCCATGATCCCCTATTTCCCAGGGGCCCCATGAGTTGTCAGTCCGCCCCTGTTACAGTGTTGCCTGACCAAGTAACTGTCAGTCAAACTATTGCAGCACTAAGAACTGAAAAACGTCCTGGTAATACATAGTTACATAGCCTTTTAAAAAAGAAAAATCCATCTAGTTCAAACAATAAAATGATTACTGTTTTGGAGATAGTTACAACTATTTAAAAAAAAAAAAATAATTAGCATATTTAATTGTTTGAACTCCATGCTTTAAAAGAAAAAATTTTTAGTGGCTTGAAATTTATTTCATTTCTTCATGGAGGATTTAAATGCTCTTTAATTTGTTGCTGGTTATCCGTTTTGCACTTTAAAAAATCATTGTAAGGATAGAGTAACAATGTCATTATAAGCCCTCGGTCAGGGGCGGACTGTCCATTTGGAAACTCGGGCACTGCCCGAGGGCCCGGGATCAGTAGGGGGCCCCATGAGATGCCCCTGGTACCTTTTTCATAGGCTTTTTTTTTATAGTTTGGGCAAGGACACAGGGGCCCCATGATCCCTATTGCCCGGGGGCCCCATTGAGTTGTCAGTCCGCCCCTGCACTCGATGCAGATTATTAAACATTTATTAAACATTTTAGACAATGGGGATGATTTATTTAGTTACATAGTTAGTTGGCTGAAAAAACAGACAAAAAAACCATCCAGTTTTAACCATTAAAAAAAAAAAAAAGTTATAATCCTATACCCACAGTTGATCCAGAGGAAGGAAAAAAAAAACCCAGAAAAGAATCCAGGCCATTTTTAAAGCAATCCACTGAGCTGGCCAGAGCCAATTCTTGAGGGAGTCTATTCCACATTTTCACAGCTTCACTGTGAAGAAACCTTTCCGTATTTGGAGATTACATTTTTTTTTCCTCCAGACGTATTATATATTTTTTTTTATTTTAGTGCTCCCTTGTCCTCTGTGATGACCTCAGGACATTATTCCACTGCACAGCTTGGTGTCATCTGCAAAGACTGAAATGGCATTTTTTATCCCAGACCTAATTTGTTCATAATTTTTTAAAAGTAAGAGTCCTAACACTGAACCTTGGGGTACACCACTGACACCCTTTTAGACCATTCAGAGTATGAATCATTAACCACTACTCTCTGAATACGATCTTTTAGCCAGTTTTTATCATTTACATACAGATTTTTTTAAGCCCGTAGACTTTACCTTACATTTATTAGCCGTGTGTGGGGAAACTGTGTCAAAATTATTTTTGCAAATCCAAGTATACCATGTCCACCATCCACCCCTCTGTATATTATATACCACATCCAGCACCACCCCCCTGTCAAAAGTATACGACGTCCCGCACACCTCTCTGTCCAAGTATACGACGTCCACCGCCACCCCTCTGTCCAAGTATACCACATCCAACGCCACCCCACTGTTCAAGGTTTTGCTCACCTCCTCATAAAAAAAATCAGATTTGTTTGACAACTTCTGTCTTAATATGCTGTCTGTTGCTTAAAATATTTTTTTCCAGCAAGATTCATCTCTGTGATCTTTTATTAAACTCTCCAGTATTCTTCCTAAATATTAAGTTAAAATAACAGGTCTTATAATTTGATGTTATTCAAATTTGAGATAAGAGCACTGCCATTAAATATTTTATTTGAAGACTGGGTTATTTACATATGTTTTTTTTAGTATAAAGAATTTTGATTATGGCCTTCTTCTACCGAAGAAGAGTTAAAGCCCAACCCCAAATACCTTTTTTTTTTGGGGATATTTTAGGTATGAGGGATACCTTTCTAAACTTTTTATATTGCTTGTATTAGATTTTTCCTCAGGAAAAATTGAGGGGAAAATCCATGAGGAAGATTTTTTCATTTCCTGTCCAAGTAAAATGGCCAACTAAATAGGAAAAATTAAGGGTTAAAACTTTTATAAGTGAAAGCATTGAAAAAATATATTTTTTTACCCTTCTATCCAAAGCACAAATAAAAGGCTTTGGCTGTAGATGGGATTCAGCCCATCACTTTCCATTCAGACCAAATTATTGAAAGCAATAGTGAATTCTGTGATTCTTTCAGCACAAGTTTTCCTTAAAGAGGACATGTACTATGGAGGCTAGAGCAAGGGACAAGTATTAGCTGTAGACTTCCTACGATTGATGTTCCCCATTACCAATATTTACCACGCTTTGTTCTAATTTGTGTCTTTGTGTGGAGGCCATCTTGGTAGAAGAAATTAGATAATTTTTATTAATTCCTCAAGTCAGAGCTGCCTTTTTAATGACTGGTGGCGTAATGATCAAGAAGGACAGGAGAGGTGCAGGAAATAAACAGATCCATAGAATTTATGAACATAAGTTGGGAGATGCTTGTACTACCTAGTCCCCATGTACAGCTTTCTCTACAGCAATGCCCACATAGTGAGTAGCACCACAGAGACATCCCAGATCTCACACTGAAAATTTCAGCTCTTTGAAAACAGAAGAAGAGTGCCTAGGTTACAGTCACATATTAAGAAGTACTTGCTATTTTTCAGCAGGAATGCCAGGAATAAGGTAGATTTTTCAGGATACTGCTTAGACACAATTAACATTTTAGATATTCCCTATAAGATAGCAAATCTTTATTTTTTAAGTATATATACATCCACTTCAACACATCAGTTGAAGATTATTGGCATTAAAGTGACATTCGAACTCTTTACGGCAAGGGACACAATATAAAATTCAAAGGTTTGTACAAATGTAAAGCAAACCTGGTTAATGAATACAATTTAGAATATTTGTGATTTGTCCCAAAGGTAGAGTTAAACTGGCCATAGATGGTTTGAATCTTGGCCGGTTTAGCTGGGGGGGACCGGACGAGATTCAACCCATGTATGAGCAGGCTGATTGTAAACCAGTCAATCCAGCATGTCTGAGTTCTTCCACTATAACCTCTAGAAGTAATCACTGTGTTCTCCTGACAGGCACAAACTCCTCTCACCCCCCCTCATACTGGGAGTTCCACAGGAGGGGATTCCCCATTTATACTGACTGTGCTGATGGAGGAAAGCGAATGTTTTTCCTTCCTGCAAAAATCGCATCATCTATGGCTGCCTTAGGCTTAAAGTGAGAGAAAGTGCTGTTCCTAGCATGAAACATGGCAGAACAGAACTTGTTCCTGCTAGCTCTCCAATAAAGGAAGAATATTATTTTGAATCTCAGTGTGCAGCAATGCTGTTGCTGGTTATGGTTGATTACTTTTGTGGAGATGAACCCAGCCAGCACCAGCACCATATGTGATTGTGGAATGTGGAGCTAGATCTCACTTGGAGTAGCATGTGAAATATTTTGACTTAAAGTGGGCTGACAAAAAAAGAAACCAAAATATACCTGAACCCATAATTGCCCATATAGCAGATGCCTCCAGATTTCCTGGTTGAGAGCTTATCCCCAACCTTTCTCCTTTGATGCTTCATTACTGGCTAGTGAAGCCACACATGCCCATCACCATTATGGACCTAGAGGAGACCAGTAAAGCACAGAAGGGTGACTTGGTCAAAATTTGCATGTCAGTGCACCCTGGGGCCACAGGGGTCTGTAATCACAGAATTAAGTAGTATCTGACATGCGGGTGACAGATATTGGGATCAACTAGTGGTTGGGGTATTTTCTCTTAACTTTCAAGGTGGAGGGGACTAGTATGGTCACCAACTTTATCTAGGAAGATGTCACTTTGGCCTCATCCTCTACCCTAGTTCCTGTTCTTCACTATTGGCACCTCAGTGTGATGGTCATCCCTATAAACAAGCAATGAAGTGATGAAAGCAGGAGGGGGTTGCTCCAACCACTGACTTACCAAAATGAATTGTTTTTAAAATGGAATGCTACCCAAAAGGAGAAGTTCCACTTTAAGCCCCCCTTCACATTCGACAATCTTTTTGGGAGGGGGGAGCAAGTACCTGGTTTTGACCTGGTTCTTCTTCCCTCCTCCTCCCTGCAGTCTTCTGGGGACATGGCACAGGTCTCAGAAATGACTGCGGGAATCCCATCTCAATGCGCAGCGTGGCTCATGCATCCCTTGCTCAGTGTACACCCATCTGTGAAGGCAAACAACTGTCACAGTTGGTGTGGCCTAAGCTAAGAAGACTAATAAACAGACACTTACCTGTCCCCGGATCCAGCGGTGTGTGCTCATCGGAGGGGGCGCCAGGGACCATCTTCCTGAGGGTGAAATAGTACCTTAAAAGTCCCACACCTTTTTTTATCTTGCTTTTGTATAAACATCCATACTCACTCCTATGCTTGCCAACATAACAGATGCCCCGCAGTGGTGGACCATTTAGGGCCAGCAAGGCCTTCTCTGCTGGCTAAACACTGCCTAAACTCAGATTCACATGACTTTTTTCCATGTTTATTCCCAATAGCCTATTATCTTCATTTCATAGATTTTCTCTTGGTTTTGCAGCTTCCAATAGTTTTTTATCCAATCATATTTCAGCCATGATAGCCTTCATGTATTGCCCAGGGTCAAAGAATCTGCACTGAGGCCTTCAGAATCAACAGTTTGGGCTCCTGTAGCTTTTTCAATAACTTGCAAAGAAGCTTTTGCTTTTAACCAGTCAGATTAGACGACACTGGGCCATCTTTGTAGCGTACATTCCTTTTTGAGGAAAGAAAGGGGGATGGATTTTGTTCACAAAATAATCAGCAGTTTTGGTTGGTGAGTATAATGCATTTTATTTTACCCTGCTTTATAGAGTCAACCCTAACTAATCCAGGCCCTGCCTTTTTCATGCTGAATTTGTAGGGTTACAGTCAAAAATTGCTGGCTTAATTTAGGTAGGACATCACTGAAGGCCTAGGTGTAAAATGCACAGCCAGCCACTGGGCTTCCCGCATACTAAGTCTATGGGTGACATCATCACCCAGACTCTGGAGCCATTTTCAGTGAGCTCTCCTGTACACTGAAGCTGGAAAGATCATGTGACCAGACCAGAATGACTTGAGAATAGGTAAGTATACTGATCTTTCCTTTTACAGGGTAGATAG